AAATATAATTTTTCTTGTAGGAACAATCCATGGTGGCGTGATATGTCGCTAACAAGTTCATCCTTAAAAATACATTAGGGTCCCCCATGTCAATCTCTATCAGGTCCCATGGGTGAAACCGAGTCCCATGGAAGAGTGGCCAGATATTGTTGGGGAGGAACCAGGCGGCCCTGTAACGGTGTCGGATTATACGATGGGGGCTCCGAATTGTATTGTGACGGTGTCAGATGATACGACGGAGGAGCAGGGTTACATCAAGGTAGCGTTAGATCCTCTTGTTGTAGGAGTGGCTCATATTGTGGAAGTGGTAGAGGGTCAAACAGTTCCCTCCTATCTTCTCTAGCCTACTGGGTAGAGATGAGTATCTCTAAAATCTAGACGAGCTGATCGACTTCCTCTCGAAGTGACCCGTATCAGGCTACCTTGTTCAGTAAAAGACATCATCTCCTCGTGTCTTTGTATTCATTTTTCACAAGAAATCATTGGATGATAGTTTGCATTTGGTGTTTTTAAGTTTTTGTGTAAGGAATAGTTACGAGGAACGCGGCTCTGATACCAACTGTAATGTCTGAAACTGAAAAGGAGATAAAGATATAGAATTGAATACAGAAGCGAAATAGTAGAGTTAGAGTTTACATTCCTTACACAATAATTTAGAATAACCAATAGGGTTACAAGAATGACAATTCTAAAAGAACAAGCGAAAAATCAAGATATAAATGAAAAGTAAATAATTAGATATCGTAGGACGACCTTCACTTCACTAGCCTTTTAAGGGAGTCCGGGTAGTGAACTATTCACAACCCCCTTATTGATCGGGATCTGAATCTTAGTTCTCTTGATCTGAAATGGTGAGCTACACTAGTCTAGTAAGAATATCACACTACTCACTAATACAGAAATGAAGTTTGGTAAAAATCATAAAAACAACTAATTAAGTTTTTAAATTAAGTAAATTCATTTATCATAAATAAAATCATTTATTACATACTTACTGTAACGAAATTTTCAAAACCGATCTATAGAGGCAATAACACAAATAACTTTTTCTTTTTATTTGCTTACTGGTATCCCTGGGGGTCCATAGGAATATCCCACCACGCGTGAACCTATAACAAAATTTGTTCAATTAGCTAGAACAACAACTTTTCCTTTTTATTTGCTTACTGGTATCCCTTGGGATCCATAGGAATATCCCACCACGCATGAACCCATAACAAAATTTGTCAACTAACCGGCCATCCCCATACCCCGTCTAGTATGAGCTCCAAAAGTACTATCCCTCAATACCCCGTCTGGTATGACGGTGAATCAGGTAATCCCCATATTCCATCCGGTATGAGCGCCAAAGATACCATTCCTCAATACCCCATCCGGTATTAGTGTGAATTGGGTCATCCCATATCCCGTCCGGTATGAGTGCCAAAAATATCATTCATCGATACTCCGTCTGGTATGAGGTAACATTCACGGTAGGGTTCTCTATGTACCTGGTCCGTTAGCCATCTCCTAGGATATCCAGTAAGACAACCGTTTTATTAATTCACTTAACCAAGTAATTTTTCATTTACATTTAATTTTTAATTTCATAATTTAACTGTAAATCACGCAAGACAAGCAATACATGCATCAAGGAAATACAACTGAATCATCTTAACAATTCCAGTATATTATCATGCATTTAAAACTGTAAAATCAAACAATCAGTTAAAACAAGACAAACAGTAATAAATAACCAGTTCTGATTCCACTAGTAACATGTAATTAATTATTAAAGTTTTTTAAATTACACAAAATACTGTATTATTTATAATTAGATTTCAATTCCATAATAGGGAATAAAATGAGGGATTCTTATCCAAATCGGTGTCTGAAATACTGAACTTTCTACTGCGCCTACTGGGGATCCTCGAGTTTCCTGAATTTTTCTGTGGAGGTAAAAACACGCTTCACATACCTAAAAATACTCATAAAAATCTAAAATCGGTGTTAAAAACTTTTTCTAGCTAATTTTGGAATTCCAGCACTGTGGCACTGTCACGCTCTTGCGACAACATTGCCACCCACGGCAGCGATTTGTCTCAGCCGGTTTTGGTCGGTTTTATACCCATCCCTACGAAAAAACATGTTAAGGGGCCTCGGTTGGCCGAAAAAAGTCAAAAAATAAAAACTTACCAGCAACAGAATTTTTCGAGGCAGCAGCTCTGCCGATTACCTTCGTGACTGGGCATTTTTCTTCGGTAACCTATAGAAAACAGAATGATGAACAAAATGGTGGAAAAATTATACGAAACGGAAAACGATAAGGGGCTCATTTGAGGAATTTTTTATTTTTTTTTGCGGCGGTGGCGCCATGCTTTACCTACAGTTTCAGCTCATCCATCGTTCCTTTTGCTTCGATTTGGCCATGGGGGTGTTCAAAATCAAATTCCGAGCGAATAGGAGAATTTTTATATTTTTTGGCGGTCGGAGATGGCTCCGGCGCGGGCGGGGGGAGGCGATCGGCTCCCTTCTTTGGCAACTAGTTATTCTTCTTCGGTGGGGGCCTTGTGGATAAGGTTTGGGTTCAGTGTAAAGTGAGATATTTATACCCGCCTCTCTTAAATATGGGTCGTTCATCGCATTTGATCTCGACCATCTGATCGCATTTAAAGAGAAAATAAATCTGAACCATTCTTCACTATTTGATCTCGATCGTACGATCGCGTTTAAAGATGAAATAAATCTAAACTGTTCATTGCGTTTAATCACGACCGTCAATCACGCCTGAGGAGATAACGGATTCGAACCGTCCACGCGCGCAGGAATGCATCTAGGCTATCCGATTACGGGCACGCGGATTGCCAGTGTGGCCTCTCACGTGGCGCTGAGTCAGCGTGCTTTGCTACGCGGTGCGCTCCGGTTCGTCGGGGCTGCTAATTGGGCAGTCTTACGTGGCACATTTCTTCTTAATTGCGTTTTCACCCTCAGTTTTCGATTTTTTTTTTCAAAAATACCATCGAACCCAAATTTTCACCCATTTTTTATAAAATTATTTTTAATTTCATCATTTACCTATTTTTTTCTAATTTTATATTAAATAAAAATTTATAAATTTTAAAATTATCTATATATATTTATTTAATTTTAAAATTAATTCTGAACTAAATTCTGGATCCGATTATTATATTATGTCTCAGTTATTAACAAAATATTCGTAATCCTCGCTATTCTTAATGAAGTACAATCATATCTTAAATACTCACGCGCGCATGCGTATTTATAAAGCTGGATATTAGTGTTATTGCATTGAG